GAAGATTATTTTTATTAGGATGTAAAAGAGATTTTACTTTTGTGATTCTCAGAGGAGGTGTAATGTGACAATGAGAATCTCTGTTTACCAGAAGTAGAAAACGCTGCGTTCGTACTTTTTTTCTAACTTTGCGGAAAAAACTTTCATCAAAGTGTAGCGCCACACTGAGCCGTGACATCATCCTGTGCACTGCTACTGTGGCGACCCCTGTTGTTCTTTGTTTGGCAGTGTCTCATTCATCTTGCTACCTGCAGCATGGACATCAGTGCCTTCTGGTGACACCTAGCGTTCGCCATGTTAATTTGCCGGCTCTCTCTCCCTCTCTCTATCGGCACCCCGTTGGTGGTGTGGCAGTTTTAGCTTCTTCTGTTATTCTTTTTTTATTTTATGCATCCTACAACACTTACACACACACACACACACACACACACACTGCACATCACCCCAGTCTTAGCCTCTCCTCTCTTCACGGGCTCCCTTCACTTCAGAATTCAATCTGCTTTTTAAGGCTCCTAATGGCCCCTCCCTATGTCACAGTCCTTATTCATTGGCACTCAGCCCCTAGATCTCTTAGATCTGAAAGCTCATCACTCCTGTGTGTCCCACTGTCACGACTAAAACTAAAAGGTGACAGACTGATCCAAAATTATGGAAACAGTTGCCATTAGATATATGTGCTCCCTCCATGTGCTCCCTGTTTATTATATTTCTGCATGCAGTATATTTAGTTTGTTTTCCTCGTGTTTAAAAAAAAAACCCAAACATACTTCATATTTTTTCATTTACTTTTATTTATTTTAATTTACACTAATGTTATTGGCATTCACACATATTTTTCAGTGATTTTTTGTAAATAAACTACTTCATGCGTCTCCCTCTTTGTCATGGTTTTAAGAGCCAGGCTGTGACAGCTGCAGTAATGTCAGAGGTATTAATAGCCAACGAGCAGCTACTGCACCTTGAGGTTGGTGAAAACAGTAAATCAGTGAATTGAAGTTGCATGACATTATTGTAAGATAGAAGACCACTTGATCCTGAGCCTGCTTGCCTTGTGTTTACATTTCTTAAGGGGAGAGTGAAGGAGCAACTTCATTTAATGCCAGTATCACCAGCTGACATTATGTCAGTCAAGCAATACGAAAATATGAAAATAACGCAGTCAGGAAATGTATTTAAGTTATCAAGATAACTACACCCATGACATTACCACATTTTGCTGCTGTTGATTAAAGCGTTGTATTTTCTTAATGCTGGAGAAGCTGTCTGAATCCACTCCGAACCTTCCTATTACAACAGAGCAGTGCAGACTTAATATTATATACACTATGCAAATCATTATAGGAAACCACCTGGAGGACTTGAGCTGCTCACTATGATTAAAGCAAAAGATATCCTGAATGGAGATAGGGGTGCTGCAGGACTGCAGCCATAAACCTCACACAGACAGAGGTAGAGTCGAGGTGCAGGAGCTGATAATAGGCCGATCTGGGGAGTAAGGCTGGTATAATCATTGCTTTTCTGGAGATGTAGATCAGTGCTGGGGAACAGGACGGGGACGTGGCTGACGAGATGATGTCCATCATGCCACAGAGATGTTGCCCATATGTGGGCTTATGTACAAAACAATAGGTGTGGGTGTTTTGACACGCAGGTGTGTGCTGCCCCGAACAAAATTTGTTCACTATCAAACCGCTGCATCACGGCTTAATTTTAGACTTTAGGGCTCTGAGATGATGAGATACTGAAACAATGAAAGAAGACACTGCTACAAAGTCTGAGTTACTAATCCTTAGGAAATATCTCATCTTATGTTGTGTGTATCACTGAGATAATGTTCTTTGTTCTGTTAAATCAGCTGAAAACAGTAAAAGTGAAGCTGCAGTCTCTTGCTCACTTCCCCTCTGTGTGGCATCGTTCGCTTCTCATACAGCATTAATGTCCCCTCGCATACACTCACCCTTGTAGCCTACGTCGCACAGCATCATCACAGCAGTAGATGAGTAGACTGGGAACACACACACACACACACACACACACACACACACACGCACACACACACACACACACACACACACACACACACACAATGGGAAGACGTCATGCACCCCGTGAATAGTTTATCACTTTCTCCTCCAGAGTCCCTCCTCTCCAGGCATTTTTCAATAAGACTCATTCATGTGCTTTTGTGTCTCTGATCCACAGCAGAAAGCTTTCCTCTCTCTCCTTTTTCTCTGTGACTTATTTAGACTTAATCTAAAGGTGAGAATAATATGTTCCTGAAATATTTCTGCTGCACTGTGCCTTTGCTTCTGCAGTTAATGCTACTGCGCTGTTTTTAAGTGAAGCATCTGATATAGCAGTGAATTTCCTGCGTTCACAGGTCAGAGTAATCACTCCTTATGCTTCTGTATCTGCTGTGTTTACCCAGTCCTGCAGAACCCTGACTAGACAGCATTTTATTATATATACTTTATATATCCTTTTTTTACTTACAGAAATTACTCACTATATACTACTTATATATATTGGTACATAGTACACAAAATTTTATTTGAGCGTCTGAATTCTGAGTATTTAAATTTATCCACTCTCCACTGACCGGGCATTGTATTAGGAACACCATACTAATACTGGGTAAGGCTTCTCTTTGCTCTTAAAACAGCCTCAATTCTTTGTGTCATGAATTCAACATGATGTCGGAGACATTCCTGCTCCATGTTGATATGACTGCACCTCATCATTTCTGCAGATTTGTCAGCTTCACATTCAAGCTGCCGATCTCCTGCTATACCACATCCCAAAGGTGTTCTACCGGATTCAGGTCTGGAGACTGAGACTGCCTATTGTGATGTTCATGAAGCCAGTTTGAGACGACTTTAGCGTTGTGACACGGAGCATTATACTGCTGGAAGCAGACATTAGAAGATGGTGAACTGTAGCCACAAAAGGAAAGTACACAGTCAGCAACAATACTGAGATTGACTGTGGCATTCAAACCATGATTGATTGGTATTAAGGGCCCAAAGTGTGTCAAGAAAACATTCCCCACACCACCACACCACCACAGCACCACCACCAGCCTGGACTGTTGACATAAGGGAGGTTGGATCCACAGATCAGACCAGGCTATGTTTTTTGCTGTTGTTGTCCATCCTCCTCAAAGTTGGACATGTTGTTCATTCTGAAGCGTTTCTGCTCACTACATTTGTAAAGAGTGGTTATCTGAGTTATGGTAGCTTTTCAGTCAGCTCCAACCAGTCGGGTCATTCTCTCACCTCTCTCATCAACAAGGTGTTTCATCTGCAGAGCTGCAGCTCACTGGATGTTTTATTTTATTTTTTAATTTTTGGCTCCATTCAGAGTAAAAACTGTTGTGATTGTGTGAAAATCCCAGAAGAGAAAAATGTAGTGTCTACTTTCTGCTGACAATCCCACAGTGCAATACAATACAACTGAACCAGTATGATCCTAATTTTACTGAGGAAAAACTTTTAAATGGAGAGTGACTTTTGTAGGAGGATAAAAGCTGGATTTTTTCATGCAGGAATTGCAGAGTAGAGTAATTTAACAGTGGCTTCAAAATGCATCCAATGTTTCAAGCTAACATATAGCTACGTATTCAAGTTGTAAGATAATCAATAAAATACAAAAAGCAGTGTAATGTTTGCCATGATTTTTTTTCTTTATGCAAATGTATTATTATTATTGATTACGTAAATGTTTGATGGTCAACATTAGGATGTTTTTTTTTATTATTATTATAATTTTTATAAAGTTTATAAAGTGTGTCCTGTCATGTTTTGTTATTTTAGCAAAGAAACAGTGGACTTGTACCTGCTTGTGACACGTGCGGAATAAGCGTTTTTATTTTTAGTTGTATTTTTCAACTTTCCAACAGAGCAGAGTGACTATTGTGTGGAGCTACATCGACGTGTAGGCCATGACTCCCAGCTAAGTCACATTTTTGCAGGAACATTAAGTCGAAAGTTACTAAATCAAAACTGTGCAATATAGTTACTATATCATAACCTTTACTAACTGGAATCAAACTTATGAGACATTAAGTCATAATTATGTGATAGTAATTTAAAAGTAAGAGTACTATGACATAACTTTTAGATAGTAGTTACAGGTTAGATAGCAAGTTAACATTTTGACTTAGCAGTCAAAAGTCAAAATAGTGAGATGTTAAGTCATAATATTCTGATAATTCTCTGTTACCATGAGTATTTTTTATTTAAATCACACACTATTTTTTCTTTTCCTGGCATAAATCAACTTCCACTGTGTTTTCTTGCATATTTGAATTTGTCACTTGCCAAAGTAAGTTGCTATAGGCTACGGCCCCCTGCAGAGGATGGATAATAAATATATGAATGATTCAGGCTGATAAATGTTGGGTGGACTCAAGGAAACACCAATAAGCTGACAGCTTTTACGATAAATTCAGCTACTGTGAAGGTCAAGACATCAGTGAACAATCAATTAATTTTTGTGTGAATATTATTTTATTGATGTAACATCTTAACCAACAGTCTTTCCAATGCAGCTTTGACAAAAACACTTGGCACTGAAACCCCTTATCATCTAAAAGAAATGTGAAGACTTGATTAAACCAGAAAAGTAAAAATCTCTATACACATAGATACTAGCTACTCAGTGCGTGTTACCTTGACATGTCTCTATTCTCTCACCTGCAAAACAGTCAAAGTGTTAAAAGTTGTTAATGTAAAAATGTGGGAGTGGATTTGTCCTCTTCATGCATTTTATCACACAATTATATTCCTTCTACCAACCAAGTAAAGTAAACCAAGTAAAGTGAAAAGTGTTCATTCTCAAATGCTTCACACCCACTTGAATAATAGCTCATTATTTTGAAAAAATCTGATTTTTGCATCCTGTTAAACTCTTATTTTGCAAGTATATGGCTATGAGTTGTGTATAAAATCAGTAGTTTTCAAAAGCTTAATTGAATGCTGACAACGATATAGTGACTTTTCTTTTTTTTCTTTTTTTCAAATGGTAGTGACAGTATTTGGAAATGAAACTTGAAACTATAAAATAAATATCTAAAAGACAGCACAAGGCTTTTCTTCCTGCATTTCAAAGCAATTCATATTTTAAATGGAGGACACACTTTTTGAATAATAAGGGGAAAAGGCACTTAATAAAAATACTGGTATTAATCTGACATTCATTTTAACGTCTGTAAATTATTCTGTAACATCCTGAGAAATGTTCATATAAAAAACAGAAGAATGTCAGATTAATAAAGACATTTTAATCAAAAGTAAAACATGCCTTGGTCCTCTTGTTCTTGATCCCCTCTCTTCTGTCTTTAGAGGACATATTCTGCTACATGACAGTGTTTGTACAAGATCAAGGCTCGGCACTCCTTAGCCAGTCTGTCATTGTAGCAGCCTTAAAGTAATGATTTTTAGAGGGATATCTTAAAAGGGTTGGGAGAAAAAGGGTTTATAGTTTTACCTTTTAAATGCCTCTCGTTTATTTTGTTAAAGCGCCCAACATCACCCATAAATCACAAAATTCGTTCCCAGCATCAGCATCAGTCAGGGGGTGTATCTTGAAGCCAAAGCTTCAATCACAAAATATACAGTGGTGTCTTTTTCTGGCAGTGTACAGTAAAAACATAAATATAAAAATAGATTAGCAGCAGGTTGACCTAAATGTTCAAGAGCAACCTGTAACCAGAAGTTCACAGGTTTGATCCCCACAGCAGATAGAGTCCAGAGTGTCCTTCTCACGCACTGTGACTATCTCTGGGTAACAGCACCAGCTAAATGCTTAAAATATAAAACTATGGCAGAAAATGAAAATAGGCCATAATCTCAAAAAGCTCACACTTTTCCTTCAAGACAAACAAAATAGGTTATCAGGTCAAAAAATATAATTTCTACTCCTGACTCTGGTGAATATGAAAATAATTACATTTTGGATTGAAGGGCTACTGCTTCAAAAAAGCAATCATATAGTTATATTTACATAAATATTACTCTGGCCTGTGCTGTAGTGGTTCAAAATGAATTATTTTGAACTAATCATAAAATCATGGTCAAATCCAAGATGCTGATGTGAGTAAATGACTCATTCCAGCGCATTGTGAAAACACAAACAACAATAAATAATGAAGCAATCTGACATGTTTACATTCAGAGTGAAACCAGTTTAAAACCAAAACAAAATCTGATAAATAATTTAGACTAAACTAACAAAACTCGAAGAATAACAAAAAATAGTCACATTTAAAATGAAAAAAGGTCAGTATATATTACTCTGTTGCTGTAATAATGACAATATTGCTGGTTAATGAAATCTCATTGTTTTTCATCACATTCATACTTCACTTATCAAAATATAAAATAAAGACTTTTCCTTAAGAGAGGTTTGCCATGTTGCAGTTAGCTCACAAGAACACTGCAACCTCACCAAAGAAAAACATACAAATGAAAAGACATTTAAGATATCATTACAGCATCCTCAGTAGTTTAAATCTGACACCTGTTGAGTTGTTGTCGTGATTGTCGAAGCTTCACCTGTTCGCGTTTCTGTGGTAACCGTGTGCTGGGTGGTTCTGGAGGTCTTGGTCACCATGGTGACAGTTCCCTCCTTGGTGGACGAGACTTGGTGCTCTTCTGACATTTCCTGGGTGGTGAAGACGGGCCCTGAGGTGTGAAGGCAGAAAGATCCCAAGACGTCGACCTCACCTCCGACCTCCCCCTTCCGCTGGGCCTGAGGAGAGCCCTCTGGGGTTATCTGGAGGAAGCCTGGGAGAGGAGGAGAGGAAACAAGGACAGGCAAGTAGAGGTAAGGGAACAAGAGGAGAATAGGTGAAGAAATTAAGAGGGAAGAGTATAAGAGAGGAAAAGGGAAAGGAAACTTAGTCTTGTGTAGCAGAGACAAAACAGGAGATGATATATTAATGATTTGTAGAGTAAAAACAAAAACATATAAAAGTAATAGCAAGAATCTATTATTTATGATTTAGTGCATATTGCAATACATTCGATGACGATATATAGAAACAATAGATAGAAGACTGGTATAAAGTATAACACAAAAAAAGTTTATACAATATGAACATCATTGCTAATTCTGGAAGAATTGTGCACTTATTCACTTGCTCTTTTAAAAGACTTCAGTGTTTTAATATTGCACTTCCACAAAGTTTGGAGAACTTGCAAAGGAATGATAAGAAAAGACGAAAATGGTAAAAATTAATGCAGTGGAGGCTGCAGAGATATACTTATTTTTAGTTCTTCATATGAATCCCACACTTCTCATAAAGCAACTGGATAGCAGATGTTTACCAGCCAGGAAAGGTCTACATCATTTCACATTTCACACTAAACTCTCTAGTTTGTAACATAGTCCTGTGTTAAAAATCTGTATTATCTGAGTCTAAAGCAGAGATAATCCTGGTTATTTTTGGGGATTTGACAAAGCTTCACCTGAGGTGCAGAAGACATAACACAGGGTGAGTAGTACCATGACTAATAAATTGACTTTTATTGGAGTTTTCTCTTTCAAAAAAGAGACAAATAAAGATAGTCTATACCATATATAATGCGAGTTTAATGTAACTTTTCATAATATTCTTTGTAAACAAAGAATCAAGTCATTTACTCCTCTAGTGCTTGTTACAAATTATTAGATACTAACAACATCTGTGTCAAATTTTTTTTTTTAAATATCCATGTTATCTCTGTTTGAGGTTTCCTTGATCCTTACCTGTGGAGTGTGGCTTCAGGGTGAACTTAGGGACCTTAAACCAGGCGGAAGACTCTCTTTCTTCAGACTCTCTGCTTTTGCTCTCCACCTCACTCCAAGCCCCGATCTTTGTTGACCTGAACTCCATGGTAGAACCAGCAGGAGACTCTGAGCTGTCCCTGTCCAGCATATCTGTCCTGGCATGAGATGACACCACATCCTTTGAAGTCTCCTCACTGAAACTTCCAAATATATTGCCTGATTTTACTTCAAGCCCTTTAGCATCTCCCCCCACATCTGCTGTTGATGAACCTTTTCCCAGTTTCACACTCATTTCTGTGTCCTCCTCCCCAGCAGCCATCGTTCCATATGGACTGGTCAGCTCCACCTTTGGAAGTTTGATTTTGCCACTGAATGTCCCTTTATCATCCTTGGAGCCTTTGTGAGGACTTGCATCTTTTTCACCATTGAGACTTGAACCTTCACCCTTGAGACTGACATCAAAGGACCCTGATTTGCCAGGAGAAAATGACACTTTGGGCATTTTCATCTTCCCTCCCTTTGACTTCTCCTCTCCCTCCCCCCCTCTCTCTGTGCTCACAGCAGCTGATTTATCTTTGGACTTCCCATAGTTTGGCTTCATTTTGATTTTGGGCAATTTCACTTTGACGTCTCCTGTCACAGCCTCAGCAGTTGGCTCCTCTTCTGGGACCCCTGTGCATGGAGCAGGTTCATCTATTTTGGGAGGGTCTACCAAGACAAATACTGCTTTTTTTACTTTGGGCATTTTAGGGCCCTCATACTGAATTTCTGCCCCATAGAGTCTTCCCTCCGGAGAGGAAATGGAGGGTAATGGGACTCCAAACTTAGGGATTTTGATTTTCTTGCCTTTTTCTGTTTTGTCATCACCTTCATCTCGTGATGTACCAATATCAAACTCTATGTCTGGGATCCTGGGGACTTTGATTTCTGCACTGGGTGATGAGAGGTTAACTTCTCCCCCTGTTTCTAGGTTGACTGATTCCTGTTTGGTTTTCAGACTAACACCTGGTAATGTAACCTCTGGCACTGAGATGTTAATATGACCTTTGTCCTCTTTATGCTCATTGTGAGTTTCAACTTCAACTTCATACTCACATCTTTCTTTAACTTTGCATACATGTTTGACTTGACCACCTAGCTCCACACTGCCACAGTTTTTACAAGTTTTTGCTTCTGCTGTTGCATCTTTGCCAGCTTTCTTTTTTGGCATTCCAATCTTGAATTTTGTACCTTTGACTTTAGGCCCCTTTACTTTACTGCTGGTTCCTGCTGTGCTGAGATCCAAGTCAGGTAGTTCGACTTTTTTCCTGTCCTTCTTGCCCTCTCCTCTATGAAGGCCTATATCAAGCTCCAAGTCTCCTTTTGGACCCTTAATATCTATTGTTGGCATCTTAAGTTTCAGACCTTTGTGCTCTCCTTCAACATGCAAATCTGCATCTGCATGAGCCTCTGTGTCTTGTTTAAGTTTACTAGGTGTCACGCTGATGTCTAGATCCGGTGATGTGACTTGTGGCACTCCAATTTTCCCTCCTGCCTCAATAGTTGGTAAGTTGATCTGTGCTTTGCTTGATGTGCCTTTTGGCACTGATATAGCTCCCTTTGGAAGTTGAACATCTGGACCTTTGATCTCTCCTCCTGGGACTTCCATCTCTACAGCAAGTGCTTCAGTGTCTTTACTTTTACCTTTAGGAAATGAAATATCAACTTTTGGCATCTTGATATGTGGCAGCTTGATGGTTCCACCCTCTGCCTCCACTCTCTCCTCTGGTGTGTTAATACTTGATTTTCCTTTAGGAATAGATATGTCCACATTAGGCATCTTGAACTGTCCTCCATCTCTCTTAATCTCTATACCTGGACCTTCAATTGAAGGTTTTCCTTTAGGAAGAGATATGTCAACTTTACCAATTTTTCCTTTTGGCAGAGAGATGCCAACATCTGGCATTTTCATATGAGGCATTTGGAATTTCCCTCCTGTCCCTCCCTCCATCTCAACCTCTGGACCTTCAATCTTCCCTTTTGGCAATGAAATGTTGACATCAGGCATTTTCATTTGAGGCATTTTGAACGTTCCTCCAGTACTTCCCTCCATTTCAACTTCCGGACGTTCAATCTTTCCTTTTGGAAGTGAAATGTCAACAGAGGGCATGCTGAGATGTGGCATTTTGAATTTTCCACCTTCCCCTTTGAGCTCCACCTCTGGACCTTCAATCTTTCCTTTTGGCAGTGAGATATCAAAATCTGGCATTTTCATGTGAGGCATTTTGAATTTTCCTTCTCCACCTCCCTCCATTTCAACTTCTGGACCTTCAATCTTTCCTTTTGGAAGTGAAATATCAACAGAGGGCATGCTGAGGTGTGGCATTTTGAATTTTCCACCTTCCCCTTTGACCTCCACCTCTGGGCCTTCAAGCTTGCCTTTTGGCAGAGAGACTTCAAAATCTGGCATTTTCATATGAGGCATTTTGAATTTTCCTCCTCCATCTCCCTTCATTTCAACATCTGGACCTTCAATCTTGCCTTTGGGCAGAGAGATGTCAAAATCTGGCATTTTCATATGAGGCATTTTGAATCCCCCCCCCTCATCTCCCTTCATTTCAACATCTGGACCTTCAATCTTGCCTTTGGGCAGAGAGATGTCAAAATCTGGCATTTTCATATGAGGCATTTTGAATCCCCCCCCCTCATCTCCCTTCATTTCAACATCTGGACCTTCAATCTTTCCTTTGGGCAGTGAGATGTTGAAATCTGGCATTTTCATATGAGGCATTTTGAATCCCCCCCCCTCATCTCCCTTCATTTCAACATCTGGACCTTCAATCTTGCCTTTGGGCAGAGAGATGTCAAAATCTGGCATTTTCATGTGAGGCATTTTGAACTTTCCTCCGGTACCTCCCTCCAATTCAACTCCTGGACCTTCAATCTTTCCTTTTGGAAGTGAAATGTCAACAGAGGGCATGCTGAGATGTGGCATCTTGAATTTTCCACTTTCCCCTTTGACCTCCACATCTGGACTTTCAATCTTTCCTTTGGGCAGTGAGATGTTGACATCTGGCATTTTCATGTGAGGCATTTTGAATTTTCCTCCTCCATCTCCCTTCATTTCAACATCTGGACCTTCAATCTTTCCTTTGGGCAAAGACAGATCAACATGTGGCATTTTCATGTGAGGCATTTTGAATTTTCCTCGCCCATCTCCCTTCATTTCAACATCTGGTCCTTCAATCTTGCCTTTGGGCAGAGAAATGTCAAAATCTGGCATTTCCACATGAGGCATTTTGAATTTTCCTCCTCCATCTCCCTTCATTTCAACATCTGGACCTTCAATCTTTCCTTTGGGCAAAGACAGATCAACATGTGGCATTTTCATGTGAGGCATTTTGAATTTTCCTCCTCCATCTCCCTTCATTTCAACATCTGGACCTTCAATCTTTCCTTTGGGCAAAGACAGATCAACATGTGGCATTTTCATGTGAGGCATTTTGAATTTTCCTCGCCCATCTCCCTTCATTTCAACATCTGGTCCTTCAATCTTGCCTTTGGGCAGAGAAATGTCAAAATCTGGCATTTCCACATGAGGCATTTTGAATTTTCCTCCTCCATCTCCCTTCATTTCAACATCTGGACCTTCAATCTTGCCTTTGGGCAAAGACAGATCAACATTTGGCATTTTCATGTGAGGCATTTTGAACTTTCCTCCAGTACCTCCCTCCAATTCAACTTCTGGACCTTCAATCTTTCCTTTTGGAAGTGAAATGTCAACAGAGGGCATGCTGAGATGTGGCATTTTGAATTTTCCACCTTCCCCTTTGACCTCCACATCTGGACCTTCAATCTTTCCTTTGGGCAGTGAGATGTTGAAATCTGGCATTTTCATGTGAGGCATTTTGAATTTTCCTCCCCCATCTCCCTTCATTTCAACATCTGGTCCTTCAATCTTGCCTTTGGGCAGAGAGATGTCAAAATCTGGCATTTTCATGTGAGGCATTTTGAACTTTCCTCCAGTACCTCCCTCCATTTCAACTTCCGGACCTTCAATCTTTCCTTTTGGAAGTGAAATGTCAACAGAGGGCATGCTGAGATGTGGCATCTTGAATTTTCCACCTTCCCCTTTGACCTCCACATCTGGACCTTCAGTCTTTCCTTTGGGCAGTGAGATGTTGAAATCTGGCATTTTCATGTGAGGCATTTTGAATTTTCCTCCCCCATCTCCCTTCATTTCAACATCTGGACCTTCAATCTTGCCTTTGGGCAGAGAGATGTCAAAATCTGGCATTTTCATGTGAGGCATTTTGAACTTTCCTCCAGTACCTCCCTCCATTTCAACTTCCGGACCTTCAATCTTTCCTTTTGGAAGTGAAATGTCAACAGAGGGCATGCTGAGATGTGGCATCTTGAATTTTCCACCTTCCCCTTTGACCTCCACATCCGGACCTTCAATCTTTCCTTTGGGCAGTGAGATGTTGAAATCTGGCATTTTCATGTGAGGCATTTTGAGTTTTCCTTGCCCATCTCCCTTCATTTCAACATCTGGTCCTTCAGTCTTTCCTTTGGGCAAAGACAGATCAACATGTGGCATTTTCATGTGAGGCATTTTGAACTTTCCTCCAGTACCTCCCTCCATTTCAACTTCCGGACCTTCAATCTTTCCTTTTGGAAGTGAAATGTCAACAGAGGGCATGCTGAGATGTGGCATCTTGAATTTTCCACCTTCCCCTTTGACCTCCACATCTGGACCTTCAATCTTTCCTTTGGGCAGTGAGATGTTGAAATCTGGCATTTTCATGTGAGGCATTTTGAATTTTCCTCCCCCATCTCCCTTCATTTCAACATCTGGTCCTTCAATCTTGCCTTTGGGCAGAGAGATGTCAAAATCTGGCATTTTCATGTGAGGCATTTTGAACTTTCCTCCAGTACCTCCCTCCATTTCAACTTCCGGACCTTCAATCTTTCCTTTTGGAAGTGAAATGTCAACAGAGGGCATGCTGAGATGTGGCATCTTGAATTTTCCACCTTCCCCTTTGACCTCCACATCTGGACCTTCAATCTTTCCTTTGGGCAGTGAGATGTTGAAATCTGGCATTTTCATGTGAGGCATTTTGAATTTTCCTCCCCCATCTCCCTTCATTTCAACATCTGGTCCTTCAATCTTGCCTTTGGGCAGAGAGATGTCAAAATCTGGCATTTTCATGTGAGGCATTTTGAACTTTCCTCCAGTACCTCCCTCCATTTCAACTTCCGGACCTTCAATCTTTCCTTTTGGAAGTGAAATGTCAACAGAGGGCATGCTGAGATGTGGCATCTTGAATTTTCCACCTTCCCCTTTGACCTCCACATCTGGACCTTCAATCTTTCCTTTGGGCAGTGAGATGTTGAAATCTGGCATTTTCATGTGAGGCATTTTGAATTTTCCTCCCCCATCTCCCTTCATTTCAACATCTGGTCCTTCAATCTTGCCTTTGGGCAGAGAGATGTCAAAATCTGGCATTTTCATGTGAGGCATTTTGAACTTTCCTCCAGTACCTCCCTCCATTTCAACTTCCGGACCTTCAATCTTTCCTTTTGGAAGTGAAATGTCAACTGAGGGCATGCTGAGATGTGGCATCTTGAATTTCCCACCTTCCCCTTTGACCTCCACATCTGGACCTTCAATCTTTCCTTTGGGCAGTGAGATGTTGAAATCTGGCATTTTCATATGAGGCATTTTGAATTTTCCTCCCCCATCTCCCTTCATTTCAACATCTGGACCTTCAATCTTGCCTTTGGGCAGAGAGATGTCAAAATCTGGCATTTTCATGTGAGGCATTTTGAACTTTCCTCCAGTACCTCCCTCCATTTCAACTTCCGGACCTTCAATCTTTCCTTTTGGAAGTGAAATATCAACAGAGGGCATGCTGAGATGTGGCATCTTGAATATTCCACCCTCCCCTTTGAGCTCCATCTCTGGACCTTCAATCTTTCCTTTGGATCCCTCGATTTCAACAACTGGTCCTTCTAATTTACCAGTTTTTACTTTGGGCAGAGATATGTCGAAGTTTGGCATTTTGATACCAGGCATTCTAAATTTGCCCCCCTCTCCTTCTACATCAAGATGTGGAGTATCAATTTTTCCACTTTTTGCCTTTGGCAAGGTTATGTCAACACTGGGCATTTTGATATCAGGCATCTTAAATTTGGCATCTCCATCCCCATCTATTTCAAGGTTTGGTACATCAAGATCTCCAGATTTCCCTTTAGGAAGAGACACATCTATTGATGGCATTTTTATGTGAGGCATCTTGAATTTTCCTTCACCTCCTTTTAGTTCCACTTCTGGTCCCTCAATCTTTGGGGACTTTCCTTTTGGCAGGGATACATCCAAGTCTATTTTGGGAATGGAAACATCAATTGTTGGCATTTTCGGAATTTTAAGGTTTCCCTCATAACCTTTGATATCAGCCTCTGAGACATCCACTTCTGCTTTGGGGAGGAGCACTTCAGTCTCTGGTGTTTTGGCTGCTGGTAGTGACAGCTCAACAGAAGGCATCTTGACCTTAGCCTTAGCTTCAAGGTTACCCCTTGGTTTACCTAAATCTTTTTCTTTCGAGCCAAATCCTGGCATGGAGAATTTGGGTAGTTTGATAGTGACATCAGGTGCATGTAAGTCACCCTTCCCTTCAACATCTGCCTCCAGTTTGGCATCAACTTCTCCTTCTGGCAGTTGACCTTTTGGTGATGATATTTTAAATTTGGGGAATTTCAATTTGTATTTTGATTTCTCGTCTGGGCTTTCAACATTAATTTCTGGCTTAGGAAGGTCAACTTTCCCCTTTTCCACATCAGGACAAGACATTGATGCATCTGCATCTTTTTTGGATATTCCAAATGAGGGGAACTTTATTTTAGGTTTTTTTACCTTAACTTTTCCTTTCCCATCAAACTCTACTGACGGTGTCCTAATCTCTCCCTCTATATGTGGTGGGCT